ACGAAGCAATCTTTGAATTCTATTAGCAATTTGATCAATTCTGAAGATTCTTCATTGTTGAGTAGAGAAATATAACTTAAGATGGTGAAAGAAAAATTTTCTTAGATTCATATAAAGTCTTACTTCTAGAGTTTTTCTAACATTAGACGCAATTGCTCTAGATAAGAGATTTTTTCAGAATGGTAAATAAGGATGTTATCAAAATATATAACTATGATTTATTCAATAAATGATTTTAAAACAGTGTTCATCAACCTCATGAAAGCACTGAGAGCTTTGGAAATACCAAATGACATAACTAACATTTATAAATAATATATGGGGTTTTAAATATTTTCTTCCAATAATCCCTTAACCTAGTCCTAATTTGATGGTAGCCAATTTTCAAATCTATATAGGATAAAATTTTCAATCCTTAAATTAAAGGGTATATCATCCAATCAAGGTATAGAAAATCTATACATGATAGTAATTTTATACACAACTTTATATTCTATGTATGTCCCCTAAGTTTCATCTTTCTATGAGGTTAAAAGTACATATACAACACAATGGCATAAATGTTATTGAATAAGTTTTGGAGTGTTTTTTTAACTTAAATAAACAACCCATACTTGGTATGATACATTTATTTCATTTATTTTGAAGTACTCCTTGATAAATGGTTTCATAGACACTATTCAAAAGAAAGAAAATTTAAAAGATATTTTGATTGTTCAAGTATATGTGGATGATATCCTTTTTAGTTCAATCAATAAAGTAAAAACAGATGAATTTCTCTCCATTATGACTAAATAATTTGAAATGAGCATGTGGGAGAATTGACTCATTATTTAGGCTTTAATTTTGACCCAAAAAGATGGGATATTTCTTAGTCTAACAAAATATATTAAATAATTAATTAAAAGGTTTCACTTAAAAGATTGTAATAGTGTAAACAACTCCTTGAGCCTTATAACTAAATTAAATAAGGAGCAAATAAAATACCCTTAAATTCTAAAAATATAAAGGGATAGTTGCTTCATTACTTTATTTTATAGATAGTAGACCAAATATTATATCTAACATGTGTCTATGTCAGTACTTTGAATAAGATCTTAAGGATTCAAACTTAATGACAATAAAAAAAAATCTTTAGATTACATATAGAAACATTGAGTTAGTAATTTGGCATTTTAAGAATAGTGTATCTTTTAACATTTTTGGTTATTCATATTTATATCTTGTTGGATGTAGGGTGGATAGAAAGAACACAATAGGATACGAATTCATGGGACATTTCTTAATTTTATATTCTAGTAAAGCATAAAACCCAAAAGCCCTATCCACTATAGAAGTAGAATATAATATTGTAGTAAGTTGTATTTCCCATATTTTATGATTGAAACAATAATTTCTATATTTGGCCTAGAAATGGGCAGTAGAAATATAATGTGTGGCAATACAAGTGTTATATGTATCACAAAAAATCCTATACAATATTCTAGGATAATATATGTTAATAATTACTATCACTTTATTAAAAACCCCGCGTCTAAATCAAATGTTAACATTCAATCTATTGACATTGAAAATCAATTAGTAGATATATTAACGAAAGTACTTAGTCTTTAAAGTTTTTTGCTCATTTATCAGTATTAAATCAAATGTTAATATTCAATCTATTGACATTGAAAATCAATAAGTAGATGTATTAACAAAAGGACTTAGTCTTTAAAGTTTTTTGCTCATTTATCAGTAGGTTGTTTACCTCACTTTTGTCTCAGTCTTGTCTGTTTTCCTTAGAAGCTTAGGATCTAGCCATAGAACTTTTCTGTTGACTTCCTAGAGGACTAGTGATGGAACCCTACCACGTAGAAATTCTAAATATTTATTTACTCTTCTTGGAGTTTCACACGCATGGTTTTTCCCTCTACTACATATTGTGATGGAACCATCATGGGAGAGCTCGAGAGGAGTCCACATAGGATTGTCAGGCCTTAAGGTTCGATGGAACCATCATGGGAGAGCTCGAAAGGAGTCCCCATAGGATTGTCAGGCCTTAAGGTTAGTCATGGGTGGCTTGGTTTTTGGTCAGGGTCAGACCTACACACACACATTCCCAAAACCCTAAAATCACCTCCATTTGACCTTTCCCCACTCTTTTGGGAACTCATGTGGGTGGTCCCCAAACTCTTAACCCTTGGCCAGGGTGGCTTGGACAAGCACATGGAGGAACCAAAATAGGCTTCCCCTTGCTCTCATGGCACAAAAAGGTTAATATTTTAATTAACAACTTCAATAAACTCCAATTTCACCTAAACAACCACCTTTGGCTATCTACACCTAAATTTTTAAAAAATTACAAAAATACCCCCAAAACCCTAATTTTCCCAAGTTTCCTCAAATTACCAAATCCTATCCAAAAATCTTATCAAACCATTCTAAACCATTCAAATTATCCAAAATACCCCCATTTCTTCAAAATCCCCATAATACCCCCAAATTCCCCAAAATTACCAAAATATCCCCCATGTCCAAAAATTTGCCAAAATCTCAAAAATCATTCCGAATCTCACCCAAACCAATCCTAACCACCCAATGATCCCAATTTCACCTAAATTCACAAAAAATTGCCAAAATTCCCAAATTTCCACCAAATGCGTAAAATCCCCAAATCACTCACAATTTCCACCAAATTCATTTCAATCCTCTCCAATTTCAAATCCAAATCGAAATTCACCATGTTTAAGCCCAATTGAAATCAAATTCCAACCCAATTGAAACCCAATTCCAAACCCAAACGTTGGCCCAAATTAAATGCCCTAAATTGACCCTAAATCAAAATTACATCAAATTGAATCTTGCTATTAACCCAATTTCATGAAACTTGTTTTCCAAATGTTTCATGAAATTCTACTAGACCAAATTGAGTCTTCAATTGATTTGGATCCAAGCCCAAGTCATGCTCAAATCTAACTTTCAACCCAAACCCCAAGTTTGAGCCTAAAAATCTAATTAACCTAAGTCATTGGAATTAATCACATCAGTTAAGACCCTAGCTTGGTGTCATGGACCAAGGGACCCTCAAATTCCAAAATTGGCCAACCCACTAACCCATACTTTAGCCTATTTGTGCACCAAACTAATCACAATTAAAGCTTATATGAACTTCCCTGAGCCAGCTAGCCACCTCCCTTGGCCTGTTCGGCCACCCTACTTTCTGGAAAGCCAAAACTCGAGTGGAGCCACCATGGCTTGAGCCCTAAATTACACCCATCCAATGTGGCTCATTCCAATTGGATTGTTGCACCGCTCAACCCTCCACCTAGGCAGCATTTTGCACCCACTAGCTTGGTCAATTGAGCATTCCTTCATCTTCTATTTAAGCCACCCCTCAAACGGCCAAAGGAGGAGATTTTCCAAATCCTTGGGGAAACTTTGTGAATTTGTTCCCAGAGCTTCTCACAACATTCCTTACTCGTTTTCTTAAACTATTGTCTGATTGAGATCGGTTAAGTCTCATATTTTTAAAATTTAAAATACTACTTTTCAAAATTACATATATATGTACAATAAATTAAATTTATTATAAACCAACAACTTTCCCATGTTGACGACCAACATAGGCTTAGGATAATGCATAAGGACTCCCCAACAATTGGAATTTAGTAACTGCAGTAAGGTCTATAAAATTTTTCTTTTGAAGATTTATAATATTAAGTTTACACAATCTCTTGAATTGCTAAATTAACCGAATTTTGTACATACCACATATGTTTAAGGTCAATTTTCAGGGGTACCTGCTCGAACAAGCCTCATGTAACTCCATCATGCAATTTGAACTTGATCACATATTTTATGTGAAATGATATCAAGTATACCTAGAAATGACCATTCTCCCATAAATAACATCTAGTCGCATAGAGAATAATAAAAATTGAGAAGTAGCTCTTAATCTCAAGAAGCGTTCTTTCTATGAAAAGTTTAGCCTCCTATATTGCAACCTTACATTGTTTATTTCATTCTTAAGATCTATTTCCGAAACTACTATTAAACTTTTTTTTTATTTTTTTTTAACGTGTATGTTTTTAACATATAGAAGTATCAAATTTTACACTGTATATTCATAATTCTTTGGAAGTGGTACTAAACTTTAATAATTGTATATATAACCTACGTAAGTATTAAACGTCAGCAATGTCCCATATGCCTATATTTTCTTTGCAATTGTTGTTGAAGTTATATCACGTATAGCTACGTTCAGTGGAATTTAGGCATAAACCACCAAAAACATAGGGCTACATCACAATTATATTACATAATATTACTTGCCATTTGCTGGTGTTAGCTGAAGCATTTAAATTCTAGTGTTAAATGCTTCAATTAGCTTTACTAGTTGATTATCCGTGATACAGACCAATTTTAGAAATTGTTTCTCCCACCAAAATTCCAGCATTTCATTTTATATTTGTATACATATTGATTTCAGTATATTGGCTTTTGGTGTAAACAGATAAATATCAGCTAATGATTTTCTATCATATAGATCAATTGCAGCACTATCATGTCATATATCAAAAAACAAATTGATGAGGTCGTTGTCGCTATATGAATATCAAAACTGGCTATTGTTAATTCATCAAACTTTTAATTATTGCTAATATTAATAATAAATTATTTTATATTCATTATATTATCACATGTGAACACCCTAATCCCATTGGAACCTTTATAAACATTACGATACAATGTGATTCAACTTGCATACCTTGTCTTTCACCAACATCTTGATTTGAGGGGAAAAATATAGATCAAATTACCAAAACTGTAACGAAAATTTCATTTCATACCAAATAACATACCCGAGAGCAGCCCCCCCATTCCAACCAAATATTAGGTCTTCTTTCTTAAGGAATTAGTTGTAAGAAGTTGAACATGATCTGCCAAAATCTTTTTAAACATTTCACAAGGTTGACATCATTGCCGTTGTGACAAGGGATTATAAACGAAATTTGATGAAGGGCGATAAAGGAGATTTTACTACATAACCAACGGAGAATCCAGAATTGCAACAGATCACTCCAGCATATAAGCCATTAAAATCATTTCCAACAAATCATTCAAACACTCGAGATTCAAAAGAAACACCTTTCATAGATAACCATTCTGTTCTTATTAAGGAATAGAAGAACTGGAGAATAGAAATTGAGAGAGAGAGCCAGACTTCAAACAGTGCTGCAAAACATACAGGCAACCATGGCTTCCCACCACGATGAAGGCCGCACCGTCCATGCAGTCACTAGAAGCACCCAGCAGTTCCAGACGCAAGGATTGCATTTTGGTCAAAAGGACGTAAAGATTGCGAATAGACTTAATCATGAAAACCACTAGTATTACTTAAATCAGTGCTCACACTCCTGGAGCTGCTTCCATTAGGACTGTGAACAGACATGCCTCTCATATTGCCTACAAAACCGGAGACATCCAAGTGCTTCTCCTTGAAAAATCTTTCCCTTTCTATTTGTTTGGCTGGAGGTGGTGGTATGGAGCCAACCGAGTGATAAAGTAGCCGACGTCTGTCATCTTGATCCATTGGCTGTATGCAAAGAGGGCGTAGAGGAAACCGCCTGAAATCTCCATCAGAATTATGTCTCAAGGAACTGCCCAAGAACTCTAAATTGTCATCTGCAAGAGCTTTTCCTTTGCATGCCCTGTTGAAAGGTAAATGGAAAGCTAAATATGAGATGTCCTATAAAAGCGCAATAAATAAAGGCATTTCTTTGACATGGAATTTATTGCCTGCAACATAAGACGGTAATTTCCTGGAATAATGGGTGCCATCTCATATAGCCTACACGTACCACCAGGTTGGAGGAAACCTTGGTTGCGGAATAAGGATATAACCTACACTCTAGGTACTGGGACTTTTAATTGGCTACTTTTTTACACCCACAAAGGCAGGGAACAAAACATTTCTTACAAGGGCCATTTAATGCAAAACCTCATGGTCAAAGTTCTAGGAGCTAGACGATTCTCTGGTGGCTTATTGTAAAACGAAGATTAAAATTGCGCAAATAATTTAACAAGCCAGCCTCCTTAATGATTTAGTGGAATGAGTAACTACAAATAGTGGAATTGATAAGCATTGAATTGGACGACAAGCTGGGAAGGGTAAGTTCTATGGATATTTGTTAAGTTATAGCTACATACACTATATTCCATGCAGCAAGTAATAATAATATATCAGTGTGTGTGTAAATTTGAAGAGAAACTTTATTAAGATATTGTACATAATCTCTTAGAATTAATATAGCTATAGCAAAGGCAATGAGTAAGGATTTTACCGTGGAGAGTGACTTAGAACTTGCTCTACTAACTTTCAAGGAAGACAATGAAGAAAATGTTATCCTGAGATTTTAGGAGTAAGGAGGCTCATAAAACTAGCCGCATCTAAAAACAGGGGTGACCGCATAATCACTTCGGTTTGTGCATCTTGATGGCCATACGACCATCAAGCCTATCCAGAAACAAACAAAATGATCAAATTGAATTGCTAACCTATGGCTGCAAACATCAAAAGATGAAGGCCATGAGCGACGTGCCACGATAACGGAGGCAATGTGCGACAGAGGCACCGGCAGGAGAACAGTTAAGCGAAAGCGTACACAACCTTCTCTCACGCAAAGAGGGACGACGGAAGCAATAATCTTCGATCTTATCTTCCTTTGGGTGATGAGCTACTAACGAGAGATATGAAGGACGAGACAAGAAATGAAGGAAGATGCGAAGCAAGTCATTCCCTTAAATCCACCTTCAAATCGGATTTAGAACATTGGGATTATCATCATGTTAGAACTTAGTTATCACGTGAATCTAACTTCAGAAAAAGGGAAGGAATTTTGAAGATATATTAGTACTGTCCAAATTTCTTTAGCTAACTTGTAAAATCATCCTACGTGAAAACGACCTAGTTGGTCTATGCTAAAATAGATTTAGCTCTGTTAGAACATATAATATGTGTATCTCATAATGAGAATGAAGAACAAAAGGCTCATTTGGTAACCACGCATGGTCTATTTACAATAGTCAATAAATTTTTTTCCAAACAAATCTTAGTTAGTTAGTTTACTCGTAATTTTTAAAAAGTACATAAAATGTTGAAAGATGCATTTTGACAGTAAAATTTAAAGTAGGTTAGTTTTTGAGTTTAGAAGAACTAACTTAAAAATACTATATATAAAAGACGACATTCACGACTAAACTTTCATTAAGAACATTGAATGAAACATAAAATTTTAGTTTCTTCACAAAAAGAAGGCATCTGCTTGTTCATTTAAATCTTGGTAATATGTTGAGATGATCAATAATAAGTGATAACATAACAGCATGAAGCACGATCACTTTAAATCAAGGACCCATGCAGTGTAGGACACGTATCAGACAACAACAGGGTTCCAACACGACTCTGACAGTGTGGAACACATCATAAAAGTGTCTGATTTATATAATATTTAATAAAAAGAGGACACCATGCATCGTGTGTCGAGCTATGCGAACTAAACTAATGAATTAATAGTTTTATGAAAAATATTTCAAGGACTAAAATTAAAAAAAAAATATTTTTTATGTAAAAAAATAAGGAAGATTTATCCAAATAGCACTCAATTTTTATGTATCTACTTATATAACACCTAAAATTTAATTTTTAAATATATGTCGTCTGATATATATATATATATATATATATATAATGGAGTCGGCGTCAGCGGCCTGCTCTGCTAGGGTTTCGCCTGATGGCGAAACTCTGTGCTAATTCCTCTATTTTTTTCACTCCATTGGCTTTGTCATGCTCGACGACAAACGGTTCGCGCATCCTACTTCTCCTTTTTCGATTGTTTCATCTTCCCCGTTGGCTTCTCCGACGTCGTCGGCTCGCGTTGTTTCGATTTCGACGTCGACAGCTTTGCACATTCGCGCCTGCGGTCTGTTTCGACGCTGACAGCTGCATATCGCACGTTCGTCTCTCCCTGCTTCCAAGTTTTCGGGACTTTGCAGTAGGAGGCTCTGTGACTTTCGGCTCTCCCTGTTTCGATTTCTGATCATATCGGGCTAGAATGTCCCTGCCATGATGGCGCTCCCTCCTTTTGAACTTGGCAAAGTCTTCTTTGTCCACGTGTTGGGTAATCCTCAGGTGGAGTCGGCAGTTGTCTTCCCCTCAGTAATAAGGATTATCAGAATAGTACAGATAATTGCTCTTTTGTTAAGAAGACGAGTAGAGAAGGGGGCAAAACAACACTCTTTTTTTCTAACTTAGAAATTTCAACTCTGACTGAGAAATTCAAGTTCGCTTTTATTGAAAAATTTCAGTGAGGGCACCCATCTATGAAAGTTATCAGAAAAAATTTTGATGATCTCAAACTAGTAGGCAAGTGAAAAGTGAGACTCCTGGATGAGCGACATGTGTTGATTCAATTAACCGTGGTGAAGACTACACCCGGATTTTCTCCAAAAAAATATCTTAATATTGCAGGTAAGACAATAAAGTCACTGAAGTAGTCTCTGACTTTGACCCAAATCATGAAACTCTTACTGTACCAATATGGTTTAGTCTATCTGGTCTCAAGCAGCACTTTTTTAATCATCAGGTTCTCAATTCTATTGGAGTGATACTTGGGGACCCTATTAAACTAGATCTATTTACTTTCAATCTAACAAAAACTTCTGTGATAAGAATACTTGTGGAAAGAGATATTACTTTATCTAATATTACTTTAGTCTGGTTGGACACAACTCATAATGGATATTGACAACAAATCATCATAAAACACAGACCTCCTTATCATACCCATTGTAAAATGTTTGTGCTTGCCCTTGATAAATGTCACAAGCTCCATCCTAATTTGAAACCTAAAGTTCAAGTGAATAAGGAGGGGTCTAACCTCACTGCTCTGGACATATCTGCTCCACCTGGGGAGGAAAATACCACAAGACAGAATTTGGTGACTGATCTAATTGCTCTTGTGGACCCCCCTTGAATTTTGTTACTGTTTTTGTGATTGATGTGATGTTGGATGGCTTTGTTGGGCAACCTACAACTTTAAACCCTCTTGAAAACAATAATGATAGATCCTTACCTACAAACAATAGTGTTCAGACTGATAATCAGAAGAATCTTTCAGCTCCCCATCTTCAGGAAGTATTCGGTGCAGAGACGACAACTCATACTTCACATATACTAGAAATTAATGTGGGTACAATGGTTGGCAAACCTTCTACTACAGCTTCACCACCTCATCCAAATGATCAATCTTCAGATAATGAATGACAGGTTTACACTTCCAGAAGAAAGAAGAAGAATGGAGATCTACTTGAGCTAAAGAATCTAATGAATGATACTTTGAATGATACTTTGGTTACTGGTTACTTCGGGTATTGGTACGCACCTCACCAATTTGTTAGCTGACTTTCTTCCGAGAACTAGAGGCAAAGGCAGAACTAAATTGGGTCATCCCTAACTAATTCCGCGCCCTGATGGTTGAGACTTTTTTTTATTTTATATGTACCCTATCTTTTTTTGAGTTTTTCGCGAGTGTTGTACCGTGTGGGTTGGGTGCCTACTTTTGAGCTCACTCATATAACCTATCTGTATCATTTTCTCTTTAATATATTAGCCCTTGGGTTTTCTTAATATATATATAAATACACACTAGAAACTCAACAAACTAATATCAGGCATACAAAAGGAATATCTATAAGACAAGGCAAGCTCATTTTGGCTATATTAATGCACATAATGTATTTTTAGCTAATTTTGGCTATATTAAAGTATATATATATATGTATATATATCACTTTTTAAAACATAAAAAATGTTATATTAGATATAATATGAAAGGTTTTGGTGGCATAAACGTAAAAATTAAAATTTAGGTGTTAGCTATATAAATGCATAAGAATTTGGTTCCAAAATAGACAATGATCCTTTTAATTCTTTTAATAAAAAAATTAATTAAGAAAACTTAAATATTTTTGTAATAAAAGATAATATATGCTTACTTATTGTATGTCATACACTAAACAATTATCTATGAACATTTTAAGGGCCATTTGAGATCATTTTTGTTCTTGTTTTTTCACTTTTTTATTTTAAGTTTATTTTTTTACGTTTGATTTAAATTAAAACAGGTTTGATTTAGGTAGTTGTTTTTAGACTCAAAATATCTTTTATTTTTTTGATTATTTTTAAATATAGTTTGATTTGTTTTTAAATATAAAAAATAAATATATAAAGGTTATATGAGATAAAATGGATTATTAATTTTTAAAAGATAATGCTATTAAATTACTTATTTTATCTTTTGTATAATTCTTAATACTTTTGTTTATTAAATTATACATATATTTTAATAATTTTTAGTATAATGTTGTATTCGACTTATATCTATGTCCTATAATATTCAATAATAGATGTATAACGTGTTCGTGTCGTGACGTATGTGTCCCAGTGTCCATATCCGTGCAACATAGTGCAACATCAACATCTTTAAAATTCATAAATTCATATTAACACTAGACAATCTCTGAGTGCATAATATGTTGTAAAATAGTTACTCTATTGATCCATAACGTTGCCTATAATAAGCTATAGAACACATTGAAGATGTTAAAATAGCATCTACTGTTTTTATTTCTCATATAGCATATTTGCAAGCAATCAAACATGATGACTCTTAGAAAAGATTCGTACCTACGAAGAAATTCTTCATTCTCCTCTGCTTCTTCATTAATAAATAAACTTGTAGTGGGAGCCCGCGAAGGAAGGAGTGAATCATGCAGAGTTAGAACTTTACCAAGTTGCTCATTTAAATCAATTGCATGTGCAATCACTTTCTCATCACTGAAAAAATACAAAGAAAAATTGAGACTTCTGTTCTCACCGCTGATTTTATTGGTACAACAGAGCATCAGATCATAGATTTGACAATAGCTATTACTATTTGCACTGCACTAAATACACACAATGCCTTGCAAGAAACTAAACAGAAATGGAAAATAATAACGGCACATTTAGTTGTTTGTAAATAGAAACAGTTCCTCGAAAATAATAATTTATTTTTACTTTTTTTTATTAAAAAAGCAATTTGATCGACAGCAATGGAGTTCTAAGAACGTTTGTAAATTTTAAAACCAATGTCGCGCCTAACTACATCAACCAAAAGATAGACTTACCAAACCTCAAAAAATTATACAAAATATGATTTTTAACAGGAGAAAACTAAATTAAACCTAAAATAGATTAGAAAGATTTAAGTTGTCATTAATTACTGGAAAAAAAAAGAATAGCAGCCATAATGAAAGTTTAGAGAAAACTAGAAAGATTAATGGATTTAATGACAGATAAAATGGCATTACACATACTGATAGTCGACGGCAGGAAAAAGTAAGCAAGAGAATACAACCCTCAAGCTAAATTGGATAAAAATATGATTGCATAAGTATATGAAGAAATTAATTACAACAAGCCACATAAAGACCGGTGAAGGTTGAAGGAAAAGATAGGTAAAATAAAATAAAGGAAAGCTAAAATGTTGCCATTTTCATTCACAATTCCTAAAATTGTTTTTCAAGAAAATACTTATTATTAAACACATGAATTTTGCATTGGCAGTTAAGCATTTTAAAAATATTCATTTACCATTATAAGATATGTTCTAAATTATACAAGAGTAACACTTGAACTGTTATAACTGAAAAAATAAAATAAAATAAATAAGGAAATTTTTTGACTGGTTGTGTTGGTTTGAAACCAACGGATCGGTTCCATTATTAAAGGGTGAAGGAGGGGATCCATTAAGTCTGAACTATTAGAGCGAGTCAAGCAAAGGAAAGCAAAGACACGAGCAAGAGATGAGCATAGGAAACAAAGTAACGTTCAAAGTCAAGTCGTGCACTGAAGAAGAAGATGATGTCATCTGCAGCAGGTTCTCTTTATCAAGAATAAAAGAAATCAGACGGAATAAAAAATTTCCTTCTTCACAATACTGCAAAGAGAAAAATATTAAATTTACACGGATTCTTTCCTTTTAGCTAATTATTTAGATTATGATTATGTATTAATTAAGTTAATTTAGAATATATTGAATATTATGTACCTAAAATAGATTGTACAAACTACTATTTATTGGAATGAAAGCAAAGGAAAAGGCATTCAGCCTATTTGCTCAAAATATTGTCATGGTATCAGAGCCTGAATCCTTGAAATTTGAGTTTTTGTTATCTTTGGTCGGCATCTTTGACTGTTTCTTAACCGGAACGCTCGTTCTTGTCTTTGAGTTCTGCGGCGTCTTCGTCCGCTTTGTTTGCGTTCTGTCGCTACTTCAAGCCGATCGACTCCCTTCAATCGGACCTCTGGTGCTGTGTTCTACAGCATCTTCTCTGGTGCGGCATCTTCTTCGTCCGACATCTTCCGATACTTCGTTCTGCCGCGATTCGCTCGCTTGCTCCAAGATCTGCCACGATCGTCGCTCGCTCGCTCCAAGATCTGCCACGATCGTCACTCGTTCTGCCGCGATCTACTCGTTTCATCCGCTCGCTCGCTCCTGCGCAATCTCTGGTGCGGCATCTCGTTCGCTCCTGCTGTGATCTGCTTGCTCGCTCATGCGCGATCTGCTCGCTTCCCGATCTCGTCGCTCTTTCTGCCGTGATCTCTGGTGCGGCATCTCGTTCGCTCCTGCCGCTACTGCCGCGATCTGTCGTTCGCTCCTGCCGCTACTGTCGCGATCTGTCGCTACTGCCGCAATCCACTCGTTCCACTTCGTTCTGTCGCGATCCACTGCTTTCGATCATCATGATCACGACTTATTCAAACTTCGCGGCACTCTTCGATCTTCGACCCTAGCCTTTGAATTTTATTTATCTTGGATATTTCGATCGAGATTAATATATTTAAAATGTCTTCTGAAATCTTAGCTATCAGATTTACGGGAAAGAATTATGTCGCATGGGATTTAAGCTCAAAATGTTCTTAAAAGGGAAGGAGCTTTGGGGCCATATTGATGGATCTTCCCAAGCTCCTATTGAGACAAAAGATCTTGGTCAATGGGAAGCAAAGGATGCTCGGATTGTTTCCTGGATTTTGGGATCTATTGAGGCTCATATGGTAAACAATTTACGATCCTTTAGCACAGCTAAAGAAATGTGGGAATATTTGAAGCGTGTTTATAATCAAGATAATTCTGCGAAACGCTTCCAATTGGAACTTGACATGAATAATTATAGTCAGAGTAATCTTTCAATTGAACAATATTATTCTGATTTTTTAAATTTATGGAGCGAATATACTGATATTATTTATGTTAAAGTGTCAAAAGAGAACTTAGCTAGTTTTCAAGCTATTCAAGAAGAAAGTCGTCGTGATTAGTTTTTAATGAAACTGAGACCTGAATTTGAAACTGCTCGATCTGGGTTGCTGAACAGAGATCCGGTTCCGTGTTTAGATGTTTTTTTTGGGCAATTACTGTGCGAAGAACAAAGATTGGCGACACAAGCTACTGTCAGTACAACTGGTGGATCATCAGAAATAATTAATGTGGCATATGCTGCTAAGACCAAAGGGAAGCGGCCAGTACAGTGCTACAGCTGCAAGAAATTTGGTCATATTGCACGGAATTGTGAAAATAAGCTATGTAATTATTGTAAGCAAAAGGGACATACTCTTAAGGAATGCCCAACACGACCCCAAAATCGCAAACCACAAGTACTTCATGCCACGGTATCCGACAATCCTGCCTCAACTACTACTGTTGCTGACAATAATCAATCAACTGTCACACCCTATATGGTTCAACAGATGATTCTCTCTGCATTTTCTGCTCTCGGCCTTCAAGGGAAAGGTAAAACTATTTATTCGGTTACTTCTCCTGGGTTTGTTGATTCAGGCGCCACAAATCATATGACTAGCACTGCTAAGCTATTACATAACCAATGATCATACACTGGTACTCAACATATTCAGGTTACTAATAGAAATAATATTCCAATTACGACAGTTGGTGATATTAAATTATCCTTCAAACATGTTTTGGTTTCTCCTAAATTATCTACTAACTTACTCTCTGTTGATCAAATTGTGGATAATAACTGTGAAGTACATTTTTCTCGTGACGGTTGTATTGTGCAGGATCAGGTGTCGGGGAAGTTGATAAAGAAGGGACCTAAAGTGGGTAGACTGTTTCTATTGTAATTTACTGTTCCTCAGAATATTTCATTAGCATCTTCAGTTGTTGATAATAAGGCAGACATCTAGCATAAAAGACTACGTCATCCAAATGATATGCTGTTGAAGCATTTACATAAAAGTGATATTTTTTGTTCTACAGATAAGAATTTAATAGTTGACTGTTCCGTTTGTAAACTTGGAAAAAGCAAGACATTACATTTTCCTATTTCAGACAGTCATGTGAATAAATGTTTTGACATTATTCATAATAATGTTTGGGAAATTACATCATTTATTTCACATGCTCAATATAGATACTTTGTGACATTTATTGATGATTACAGTCGATTTACTTGGATCTATTTTTTGCGTGCCAAAACAGAAGTATTTATTGTATTCCAAACATTTTTAGCATATGTTGAAACTCAGTTCTCTGCTAGCATTAAAACCTTACGATCTGACAATGGCGGTGAATACATGTCTCATGAGTTCCAAGCATTTCTCCACAGCAAAGAGATTGTTTCACAACGTTCATGTCCCTATACTGCAGCAAAATAGAGTTGCTGAACAACAAATCGACATTTATTGGATATCGTGCGCACATTACTAATAGAATCTTCTGTTCCAGCTAGATTTTGGACTGAAGCTTTATCTACTGCAGTTTATCTCATTAATCGCTTATCATCTCAACAATTGAAATATGAGTCTCCCTACTATCGAGTTTTTGATAAACACCCTAATTATCATACGCTACATACTTTCGGATGTGTTTGCTTTGTTCATCTACCTGCTCATGAATGTCATAAATTGGCAGTTCAGTCAGTACGATGTGTCTTTATGGGGTACAATCCTAATCATAAAGGTTTTGTGTTATGATTCGATTAATAGTCGATGACATATTTCTCGAAATGTGATTTTCTTTGAACATGAATATTACTTTCAGCACTATGTGTTCACATCAGATACAATTATACTTCCACAATTTGATAATTCTTCTGCTGATAAACGGTTCAAGTCAGACATTGTCTACACACGACGCCTGCCCCCTTCACCTTCAATCCTCCTCGACCCTGATCCAAAAATTGCTCCAATAAGTATTCGACGATCAACCCGACGTATCCGTCCTCCAGATAGATATGAGTATTCTATAATTTAACTAATACTACTGTTCCTACCTCTTACTTTCAAGCTGCTAAACAGACTTGCTGGGTCAAATTCATGAAAGAGGAACTTCAGGCTCTTCAAGACAATCACACTTGGGATATTGTTTCATGTCCTACAGGTGTTAAACCCATTGGATGTAAATGGGTTTATTCTCTTAAACTCCGATCTGATGGCTCTCTTGACAGATATAAGGCAAGATTGGTAGCTCTTGGCAATCGTCAGGAATACGGGATTAATTATGACGAAACATTTGCACTTGTGGTTAAGATGGAAACTGTTCGACTGGGGTTACCTATTGCTGCATCTGAAGACTGGTTCTTAAAGCAGATGGATGTTAATAATGCATTCTTACATGGAGATCTCAAAGAAGACGTCTATATGACTCCTCCTCCAGGCTTATTTTCTACACCTTCACATGATGTTTGTAAGCTCAAACGGTCCCTATACGGTTTGAAATAAGCTCGACGGGCTTGGTTTGAAAAGTTTCGCAATACCCTTCTTAGCTTCTCTTTTAT